TTAAAAAATGAGCTACAAGTACAAGCCATCATGTCAGCCACAATGTACTAATACTTCTATAAATAACAAACAAACTTCGATTCTAGAAGAAAATAGATTCAAAATAGTATAGTAGCTATATAGCGTAGAGATGGGTGATAAAATTAGGTAAGGATTCGCTAAAAGTATTGAAACTTTTTTTATTTCATATCGATACACTTGAAGGTTTTCTTTTTGGTTTTTTTCTTTGTCATCAACATTTTACGACTCATTTATATTTGTTGACAGGGCTCACACTTTACAGCCTGTCGACCTACAGATGGAAGAGACATTAGTACGAAAAAGAATGTTCTATTTTTTTTATACATACATGTAGTATGTCTGTCCACTAAATGCATAGTAATTGATAATTAGATATCAGATCCCGATGATTTTTTAAAATTAGTTTTTAACTTGGAGAACAGTATATATCATCAAAATCGACTTTGTAATTTTGAATTATTATATTAAAGTTTAAGAAATGAGAAAAACATGTAAGTTGCTCTTTTTTTAAATTGCTGGCGTTTTCCCTATTTCTTTGATTTTTTAAAACGCTTAGTAAATGAGTCTCTTTTTCTGTATTTCTTTTTGGCAGTTCTTATCAGTAGAAGCGGCAAAGTATTTTGTTATTAGTAAATTACTATAAAGTACTCGATACCTACAGGTATCGATATTTTATGTATCTTTCTAACACTACTTTTACATGACAGGCCAGTAAACAGAATCGTGATTGGTTGTGACGACGACCAATTATAAGACGTTTTTGTCGTTGAATAGATTCCTAAAAATATTGCATTTTCTTTACGTTATTTTACTAAATCTAAACATGTTTTTTCTGCAGATGTTAAGAAATAAGCTTTATTATATTATTATCAATCAGGATGGCCACAAAATGCAACTTATTTTCGATAGTGTCAAATGCCCTATTCCTATCCTAAAAAAATAGCATTAGCATAGCAAAAATACATAGCTGCTAATAACATAGCAATGACTTCAATAAAGATTTATGGTTAAACACCCCACCATATCACTTCGAAAGCCAGAAGCTACTTCAATGAAAAGAATCACAACATTTAATCAAGAAGTAACAGATATATCTTTTTAACATTAAAAAACACTCATAAAAAAATACCAATTTAAGTCGAATTCAGTCTACAATGTTGATGAAACAGGCATTAGTACTGTACAACGAAACTCCAGGAGTCTCGCACCGAGAGGATTAAAACAAGTAGGAAAATGTACCAGCGCAGAACGTGGTTCCTTGACCACAGCCATAAATTACTTTAATGCTGGAGTCACATACATTCCCCTATTTTTATATTTAAAAGAAAGTAAATGAATGCACTGCTTATGAAGGACAGTAATACTCGTACTAACATGGTGGCTTGTGTTTCTTACTCAGGCTGGATATCTGAATCAATTTTCGTTGATTGGCTTCAGCATTTGCAAAACCATTTGCAGCTTACCCTATTTTACTAATACTGGACACCGTGAAAGTCACCTTAGTTTGAGAGCTCACGAATTTTGTCCCAAGAATTTTATTCATGTTAACTTTGCCACCCCACACATCCCATAGAATGCAGTCTTTAGATTTAACTTTCCATGGCCCACTAAAAATAGCATATAACAGAGAATGTGAATCCTTCATGGTCAATCATCCAGGCACCAAAATTACGGGATATGATTTTGTAGGCTTTTATACAAAGGCCACACTTTTAATAGAACCACAAGTACTGACGCTATAAATGGCTTTAAGTCTGCTGGAATTTGTCCAATGGATCAAGATCAATTTAAAAACATTTTTGAAAGTTTTAGTGATATTTTAGCCTCAGCCTCTTTTCTTGAATAACAGATACAAACAAATACCAATAATTCAAGCCAAACTGAGTCCCAGAATGAATCTCAAGTTGTATGTGATGTTGCCACCGAAAATATTTCTAATTCAATAATCCAATATAATCAAATCCAGGAAACATTTGAACTTTCCAATAATGAGGCTAACTTTGACGATTAAAACGAAAATACCTAATCCTATGTCTGTATTATTGGGTGATATTAGTGAAGCTGGTGTAAATTAAAATATAAAAAGTCAAACTTCTCCTTCTTCTCTTAATAAAAACAGACTGATTATTGTTAATGATTTGAGTTTTATTTGTGATTCCTCTTAAGCGTCCGCAATTCCCACCTTCCACTACCAGGTCCAGAAGCTGAGTCTAGCAGGTAAAGCAGGCAACAAAATACCATGGTATGGTGAATTGGAAAATAAGTTGACTATGTATTTTCACATAGGTCTCTTATCTTAGTTGATAAATAAAATGATACATCTCATAATTTTTTGAAGGGTCTATAAAATTAACTCCGTATTATAAATAATTATTTATCTTTTATTAAGGTACATGTCTAATGCCCGTTTTCACTAAACATAGGAAACGCCCAAATCTGACTAAATATTTGGGCATTATCTAAGGTGAAAATGGGTTTCACCAATGATAAGGAGTCACTTGACGACTTTAAGCAACGCTTAAAATTAGGACATGCATTGTGCAGCGCCTAACGCTGGGCATTTGCATATTGTGACAGATACATTTTCCCTTTGGGTATAACAGATTTGTCAAGTGTTAAAATGAATTTAGTAAGTTGGAATCGACTTGGTTGCTTGTTTAAAATACAAGACCACATATATATTTTATTATTACCTCTAAATGTTGTTATTGTCTTTTATTGTTTGTTATTGTCTCTTTAGATGTAAAGGTTTAGATGTAAAAGTAACATTGACGGAATTGTAAAAACGCATATAGGCCATGCGTTAAAAAAAAGAAGAACTGAAAAGTGCATAGACAAACGTTGCTTATCTAAGCAAGTGCTTAAAGCATTACCTAACGGTCCAAGTTTGGTGAAACGAGAAATTTGCTTTTATATGAAGTGATTTCTAGTTATCCTAGGCCTTGTTTTGGGTTCGGATAGCCACGGGGTGGGTTCACATAGGAGAGTTCTACATACCCTATCGCTTGCGAGGTGGCAGGGGTAGTGTCTAATGCATTTCCTAGACGTAAACATGAGAAAAGGTCTTGTTCTAGGTTAGTGAAAGCGGGTATTAGTCCATCAAGATTTGTGATATCTACGAGAACACTACGTAACACGTAGCATAGGTGAAAGCTCGTAGCGGTGGAACCGTATCGGGAATCGAGGGCCTTAAATCTCGAACTTTATAATAAAAGGTACTAATTGTAATATGGTGAGTGATTACTAATTATTAGTTTCTCAAAGACATCTTTATGGGACTATAGTTCTTTTTAGGACTTCGGTGCTCACTAAAACGACATTTTACAAAATTCGACCCCTAAGAGGGTAAATTAGAGGATGAATTTTTTTTGGACTTAAAACTAGATCACGCCGGCTAAGCCGCTGGCGGAAGGCAGGCTCAAAATTTAGTACAATATTATATAATATAATACGGTTGGCAGCGTACGTAGAAGTGTAAATGGTGTAAGAACTGATTTTTGTTATATTATTATATTCGGGTCAAAAAGGGTGAAAACTGTCGTATGAAACATCATTGTTTTTGAATTTATAGCTATGAACATTGAGATATAAGTAGGTTAAAATCCTGGACAGGTTATAATAATTACACAACCGACTTGTTTAAAACTGATTTAGATATAGCCAAACTGTCAGCCTTCTCGTTTCTATAATTATTATCTGACTAGTGAAAAGTAGCACACCGGATTTAACTATAGCCTTTATATGTTGCGTTTTTAACCGACTTCAAAAAAGGAGGGGGTTCTCAATTCGACTGTTTTTTTTCTTGTTTCTTAGTCATAACTGGGACTGGGAGGGACCGATTTTGATGATTCTTTCTTTATTTGAAAGCTATTAATTGTCGTGTGGTTCCATTTCATCAGAAATAAAACAAAAAAAAATGGACTTCAAATTTAAAAAAGTTAAATGTTATACTTATCTTAAAAGCGGTTAAATATTTTAAGAAACATTGAAGTCGGCAGGTTATGAATTATATATATTTAATTATTATGACACAATATTAAATAGTCTGACTCACGTCGTATTGAATGTAGTGTTTTTATGAATAAATCAATATTGTATTTTTTGTTTCCCGATACCTTTGATTTTGACGTAATTGTTTGTTTTCATTGAATAGATTCCGAAACTACTGGACCAATTTTGAAAATTCTTTCACATACGAGTACCTAAATTATACGCGGGTGTCATAACAGGCTATAATTTACGGCGTAGAAGTCGCGGGAAGTAGCTAGTTTTGTATAAAATAAATAACTACATTAAACGTGGAAAAGATTATAAGCTAAAATTTAACTAGTCATAGGATAATTTTTGTAGTTGATCGCCGTTCGTAATGCATCATGTTTGTGTACGATAGCTGCTGATGAAAATGGATCAACTCGGTGCTACTTATAGGTTGTGCAATTTCGGTATGTTTATCTCAGTGCTGGTGTAACACAGCATTCTACTCTAGGACCAGAACGCCTATTCTGTTTCGCCGAAAAAGAAATTTCTTCAATGTTCGAAATCTTAATATGAATGCTGAATGAATAAATTATCGAAAGATTGGTTTCTTTTTTATAGTCATCTAAAGAAACCCGTTTTTCGATAATTATGATACTGAGAACCTGACACAGAGTAAGATGCTTTAATCTTCACGGTTATGACTAATAAAATTATAGGGACTAACTGTAACTGTATTATGAAAGTAGTCTAGCATTGCTTTTATATGAATATTCATACAGGATTTACTAAAAATAAACAGTACTATATTACTCAGTAAAGTAAACGCCGGGTCCGAGGCGAGCGTTCCTCGACATAAATGGGTGACGTTGCACCCGTCGCTGAAACTGGAAGAAATCTTGTACTAACTAGAATAATGTTCGTGTAATTAAAATTTACTCGTCGGCTGCAAAGGGCGCCATAATACCTATTTATAAAGAGCCGCTTCAAAGGCTTACGGGGCTGTGAGCGACTTGACGAGCTACAGAACGGACGGATACCGTTTTCCTCTTTGTCTGTAATAAATACATCGCGAAGCGATAACGCCTACCGCCTACAGACTATATATTGGTATAATTTCTATAAGAAAAATAAATAAAGTGAAACCATTGTATGTTGATGTTATGTGAATCAGTGTTATAGTGATCTGCAAGGAGAAAATGTTTTTGGTGTTATAACAACAGTTTTTGATAAAGTAAGTAAGAAGACTACTATATAAAAATCACTTCATCAAATAATTGCTAAGGTATTTGATTATGTGAATAAATTGTGGTAATTCCGAATTTAATTACGATAGTAATTACACTCGATAAATAAGTATTAAGTAAAAAAAAATATATGAACATCACTTAATGATTTACATATTTAATCAATAGTTTTGATACGAGTAAATCTTAAACATGTTATTTCTAAAAGGATCCAAGTTTAATAATGTTAGTTACAAATATATATTACATTATAAAATCACAATCAATATACACATGAATATAAACACTTTTAGTTCGTATACATATTATTTGCGAATGTTTGTTTACTCTGTATTATATTTAAATAATTATGCCACACATTTGGCTGCCTTACGAATCTCATTAATGGCAAAAAATCGCTAGGTTGAATACACTTGACCTCAACAGGTTTTAAGTACGTTCACTGAATATGAGATTGTTTTTATTGGCTCTCTAATGTCGTGTCCTGAGAGAAAAGGTGTCTCCCCACTTCTTATTCCATAATTAAAATTAAAAAAGTGTTCAATCTAGGGCCACACTAGTGTGCCAACAAGACGAGCTAATTAATACGGGTGTAGAAATACATCCTTTTTTCTAGTAGTTTTTAATATACAATATTGCTTAAATAAATTATGAAAAACAATTATTTTATGCTCGTTGTCACGTGACCGCAAACAGCGCGTGACGTCACGCCCCTCTTACTCATATGAGAACTTAGTGCAGTCAGTCTTATGCATACATATAAATTTTCACGGAAAATTATGAAAAATAAATTTATTTTTAGATTTTAATTTATTATATGAATGATACTTTTTAAAATATATCATTTATATGTATAAAGTAAAAACATAAAAAAGTAGTCTCCTAAACTCCTATTGTAGCCTAAACTATTCAACGAGAAAAATAAAAGATGTATGGCCCTTATGATAAAGCTTTATGTGATTATATGTGACACTAGACAGTTTTTGTAAAATATATTCATAAATAGGTAAGTAGACGTCTACCAATGCTATTGCTATCATTGAACCAGTAACAGATATCAAATCATGATTAGTATCTATTTATTATTTATCTCATATCTGATATGATTATCACTCTAAAGATATTTATTCGTGCAGGATATCAAGTTTTCAATTACGTACCTATTTATTGTCTTACTACCGATCTACCAATTACGTTAAAATAATAGTACATTCATACTTTCTCATAAATTTTGAAAAATACTTTATTGATTCCGGTAATATTTTATTAAATGACCTTTTAATCTTATACTTATAGTTTTTTTTTTAATTATATCATTTAATTTTCGTAAACTTATTTACAATAATTAGAATACTAGACTAGAAATAAATATTGTTTAGATGACTCTAAAGAACTTTTTCGATAATTTATGCATTCAGCATTCATCGTAGCATTGCATAAGAGCTTAATCGGACGAAAAGTAGCCTATACTTATGTTTATCCAGGCATACACATTTTAAACACACATACACATTTTACATTTTTAATAAAGAATTTTTTGCGTGAAAGAGTAACAAACATACATACGTCCTTCCTCGAAAACTTTCGCATTCCCAATATTAGTTAGATAATGCCTAATTACAAGAATTTTTTTTTTAATCTTATAAATCAAGTTTGTCGAGTCACATTGGAGCGATCTTAATATGCTTACCTACGGGGTGACGGCCTGACTCCCTAGCCAAGGGAAACGACATATTAACGACGTTATAGCGATGTTTGGTTTACTCTACCCTACCATAACTGTTGAAAATAACTATATTATGGACTAAACTTCATTAAAAAAATACAGATCAAATATTGTTTTCTAGTTTTTCTTCTACATTTGAAATGGCAAAACAAAGATTCGAAAACTGTAACAAAGTTCTTATCTAACAAAAATATATGTATATCCACCACGAATGCAAACTATAAAAATATCGTCTGACCAGTCGAGCTCATAAAAAGTCAATGTTACAATATCAAAATTTCAAATGAAATTGTAAATATATTCGCTTCTTTATATTTTACTTCATAGTTTAGTTCATAAATCTCTGTTGGTATCTACGATAAATACTGTGCGAGGTTGTTTCATGAAAGATTCTATTTGTGTGTAAAAATATGGCAGTATTAGCAGCGATGAAAGGCGCAATAACTGGTCATCGGTATTGTAAGTATATTACTGTCGGAACTCTATGAATATGTGACAATTTTGTTTATGTGAAATTTATTTAAGAAATAACAATCCATAAGAAACCCTGAGTTCCTGCAATGGGGCCGTAAATGGCCTAATAATAACACGATAAGATAAATAAATATATGTTTTAGCGTTTTTAGAAATACTGCACAAACTAACTATACCACGCGGACGAAGTCGCGAGCAAAAGCTAGTCATGAATATATCGGAGATTTTATTTACGCATAATAATAGTCATGACTTTACTATGGTTTTATCTAGGCACAGGTCTTCCCATAGATAGAATCGAATCAAAGCGAATATAACGCCTTCCGAAGCACGGAGGAGCTTGAAATAATAAATTTTTTGGTCACGTATCCTATGACTGGTCTTGGCGAATGTTGCTTATCTTCATCGTCGCAGACTGAAAGCGTTGACAACAGTGTCATCAAGCCCAAAAAGAATAACGTGGTAATTTAAATAAGTTTCAAATACGGATACGTATAGTAAATTACAATTATCAGATAGTTTATGTTGTTTTAATATGCAACAGGATTGCCACTAGGGAATGTAATCTCGCGAGATTGGGACTAGGGCGAGATCTTGCGAGTTTATGAATATCAATACCGCGAAATCGATTACGAGATCTCGCGAGATTGGCACTTTTGTGTGTTTACTGTTTTACTGTAATATTTATTCAAATCATAATATTCGAATAAATTAGGAAAAAATATTAAAAATTTTGTTTTTTTTTCAATAAAGTTTTATGAATTTGACATTGTTTGATGCAATTATATATTTTTATTTAAAACCTTTAAAAGAATAATTACTGTATTGTCATCTCGGAAACGGCTCCAATAATTTTCATGATATTAAATATGCAGGGGCTTTCAGAAGCAATAAATCGATTTCGATAGGTTTAATTATTTTATTTTATAAAAGTGCCGAGCAAAGCTTAGTCTGCCAGGCACTAATATTTTAAGAAACTAAACTTTGACGTATTTAATCAAATATGAAATGAAAAAACAACCAGTCTTTTCTGCAAATATCAAACAAAATTTTAATAACAAAAGGTTTTTATAACAAAAATACAAAACTAAAATAAGACTCACTAAGTTGAATTGACTATTAAACTGAGATTATTATCAATGAAAGAAAACTGTATACCGAGAGATCTATTAGAAATTAGAGAATAAGTTAACAAAATATACCAATCATTTTAAAGGCTTATTCAGTTCACTTCACACGTCATAATTACAAAAAATTATGAAAGTAGCTTTTTAAGAAGAACATAATGTCCAAAGAATCTTTTCTATTCGTCTTATTATTGTGTGAGCCAGATAACCAGCCACTTAGAAGACCCTTTGGAAAACACAAGTACGTACTGTAAAAGCGTAATAAAACTTCGCCTTTAAAACCCCCGTAAATTCGCGCTGCCGCACTTAGAATAAATCGTTTTTATTCTCGAGTACAATCTCGATAAACTCGCGTGATCATTTTCCAATTTCAGCCATTTTCGAGGGAGATCAATTTCGCTAAAAAGGCCGAGATCTCGCGAGAACGAGATTGCATTCCCTAATTGCCACCTTTTATTCGCCGATCCTGTCAGAAATTATCCGAAACTTTATATTGGATTCGATTTGGTTATATTTTCGAATATCCGAAAGTTTCGGTTATGATACCGCAGCTCCTTAACGTCCCCGGTACATGCAATGATTCATGTAGTGAACGTGCCGTTATTACTGGAAGTCCGATGTGTATTGACGATACTCTGATCCCGATTGGCCAAAAATACCAATGACTCACAAATTTATTGATTGGCGTAATTGTTTTCCCAGTAGGAGTGGTCCCCAGAAGTAAGCAATTGACGTTAAAGTCAATATAGTAAAAAATATATCACACTAGTTGCTGCCGGGGTCTTTGCCATTTTAGGTTTAACGCCAACGTCCATTATAGGTTCAATGATGACTTTAAGCTCTGATAAATGACAAATTTGTATCGGTAATGTCGCTTAAAAGTAATGATAATTTTAATGGACGTTTGTGCAACTGGTTGTATGTCACCTGCATAGATATCAATTTTAATTGATAGGATTACATTCACTTCTTCGAAATCAATAAAGTAGGTAGGTAGTAACTAAACAATAAAAAAATACGACCGACGGTATTAACACGATATAGGAAAAAAAAGTATTGTCGTCATATTTTATTACGACAATAATGTGTTCTGTTATTATATTGAACTTAAAGTAGATATTATCCTGATATCGGGATTGAAGTGATTCTTTATCTATACTAATAATAAAAAGAGATTATATTTCATTGATTGTTTGTTTATTTGCATTGAATAGGCATCTTAATTTCTAGACCGATTTTAAAAATTATTACACAGTGATAAACAAAATGTTTAAAAAAACCCACTTCGTCTATGGTACTTTGAGATGGGAATCGAACCCATGACCTTTCCCAATCCGGGCGACTGTTCTAACCACTGAGCTACCCAGGACGTAATAGGACTGCCGAATTTTTCGAGCACATGTTACTTTTTCGCTACTACGCGTATTTTTATCAATGTTCAGGTAATCCACCCAAACAAAGGGACAAACACAGGGCAAAGTGGATTTTTTTATTATTTTTCATTATAAATATTTTTCAGTATACCATTTTGAACGCAAAATTTATCAAATATACTGCCTGTTGCACAAACATCCATTAAAAATGATATTCGTTTAATGCGACATTACCTATACAAATTAAACATTCATTAGAGATTAAAAACGTCATTAAACCCTAATGG